AGAAGAGCAAGCAAGATGATTAGGGGCTGGAGGCTAAAACATATGAAACACGGTTGCAGGAACTGGGTATGTCTAGTTTAATAAAAAGAAGGACTGGGGGAAGACATGATAGCAGTGTTCCAATATCTCAGGGGCTTCCACAAAGAAGAGGGAGTCAAACTATTCTCCAAAGCACCTGGAGGTAGAACAAGAAGCAATGGATGGAAACTAATCAAGGAGAAGCAAGCTAGAACTAAGGAGAAATTTCCTGACAGTTAGAACAATTAATCAGTGGAACAACTTGCTTCCAGAAGTTGTGAATGCTCCAACACTGGAAGTTTTAAAGAAGAGATTGGATAACCATTTGTCTGAAGTAGTGTAGGGTTCCTTGCCTAAGCAGGGGGTTGAACTAGAAGACCTCCAAGGTCCCTTCCAACTTTGTTATTTTAATCTATTCTAAAGCTAAGTCATTTACGGTTTAAAAAAAGTCTCTAATTTCAGATCAATGTTTTTAGCTTGAATACCTTGACTTAGTTTCTGCATGAACACTAAAGGATCTTCTCCGTGTTAAATAGTTTAGGATTCTTAAGGCAGATGTTTAAGAAAAACAAAAGATTTTTTTTATCTCCTAGAAAAAGCAATCTTGATTCTTTCAGGTGAAAATACACAATCTTGTTCTAGAGTAACAAAATATTAAAGGAAAGCTGAATTCAAAGCAAAGGTGCCATCACCCCAAAGTCCATAGTGGAAACTGAGATGAAATCTAGCTCACCCACAGCTCCTTTTGATCGGAGATGTTTGGATTTATAGAGTTTTCGTCACTCAACAATTGTCAGTACAATTGTTGGAGGAAAATAAACTGAGGTTCTGAATATCCCGTGATGGAAGATCTCAGAAGTGTGTCGGATGGGGAAGACTGACCATCCGTGACAGGCAGCAATACCTGATGGTCCTCTGTTCCAATGGGCAGAGGCAATATGTCTGAAGGCTTCACGTCAGCAGATTCCAGCAAAAGGCTTTTCTCACTTGGGATTGAATCTTGCTCGCTGAAGGAAGAAGGATCAAGTGCAATGGAATCCAATGGGTTCTCGGAATCTGAAAAGTCAAACAATACTGAAGAATTACTCTTGAAAATAAAGACCTATTTAATAATATATCATGTAACATGGGCCCAAGGAACATTCTATTTAATTTATTTTATATTTGTATTTATTTTATATTTACACACATACACACACGCTGTCCCATCTCCCTCACAGAGCACCTCTGGCCAGTGTACAATGTAATCCATACCATAAAATATTTCAGCCAAATAATTTAAGGTTACAAATGTAAACATGTAAAACAGCACTATAAAAATGGAAGAGAGGGAGAATAGGGAGACTGAAGAGCTGTTAATACAGGCAAGGGGGAAGGGCTCTCATGGCAAGGCTACACAGCTAGATTTTGACCCTTCTGCAGAAAGCCAAGAGATTGGGGGCTTTCCTTATCTCTGCAGGCAAGATGTTCCACAAAGCAGGGGCAGCAGCAGAAAAGACCCTCTTCCTTGACCCTACCAGTTGGAATTCTCTGACTAATGGGATCCGTAGCATGTTTTCCCTGCCTGAACGAGCAGGATGGGCTGATGTGATATATAGGAGAAATAGAATAGAATTCTTCATTGACCAAGTGTGATTGAATACACAAGGAATTTGTCTTTGATGCATATGCTCTCAGTGCACATAAAGAAAAATAAAATAGAAAACATTCATCACAAATCATAAGATACAACACTTAGTGATAGTGATAGGATATTAAATAAGCAATCAAATCATACTAGGAAACAAATAAAACAATATAAATGGTAAAAATACAAGCAACATGGTTATAGTCACAAGTGGGAAGAGATAGGTACTACGAAGAATGAAAAGAATAACAGTAATACAGTCGTATCAGTAATGACCAACATCTAGCAATACTAGATGTTGACCAACGTAGCAATTAGCCTCTAGATTTATAAGGATATTTTTTTTAAGTTGGTTCCTTTTCTTTCCCAATCAACCTCCCATAATACTTAGCTAGAATAGCTACGAATCTACAGTGCCGTTTAGATCTGGTTCCAGCTCCCTCTCCCCACCTGTCCGCACATCATCAAGGTGAAGAGCGAGAGGAGGAATTCTGGGAGTTGAATCCACAAGTCTTAAAGCTGTCAAGTCTGAACACCCCTGGGTTTTTTTTTCCTAAAGGGTTAGGGGTGCAAGAGTCTTGTAACTTGATAGCTTTAAGACTTGCCTGCTTCAAATGCCAGTGTTTCTGAGCCATCATTTTGGTCGCTAAGCAAGAGCGTTGTTAAGTGAGTTTCACCACATTTTACAAGTTGGCTACGGCCACCCAGTCACATGACTTCCAAGCCACTCCCACTCAGTCACATGGATGGCAAGCCAGGCCCACCCAGTCACATGGCCGGCAAGCAACTCTCACAAAGCAGGCCACACCTACAGAAGAGGTTCTAAAATTTTTTGAAACCCACCACTGGTGAGGGGTGAATAGGAGGGGTGAGGGGTGAGTAAGAGGAACATGTCTGACACAGATATCACCATAAATCTTCCAAGTATTTGATTGTAATACAAAACCTGGCACTGGAATAATGGATTTTTTAAAGAACAATAAAGAAAATTCGTGTTTACAAGTTACATGAGATTCAGCCGTGCATTAAAAAAAAAAGCTAATGATTAACCTATATAAACAAACAGTACAGAGGGACAGGGAATCATTTCAACTAAAGGTAAAGTAGTACTGAAAACATGATGCAACACTCCTATATTTTCCTGCCCATTTATCCTTTCCTGGTTCCATTTTGTTTTCTTAGTTTCTTTCAATATTTTATGCAGGGATAGATTAGCAAGACAGAATGTCAGGACCTCACTATAAAAAATCCAGCATTTAACTTTGTTAGCTTGCAAGACTGAGGCACAGATTTCTCTGCTTTGAACAGAGACTAAATAAATGCCTTTGATCTAGGCCAAACTCACAGCATCATGGCGGCATAGCATGATATATCAAGACTTTTCCCCCCTTCGCTAAAACGGGTGGGGGTAGAGCCTGGACATGAGTTTGACACCCCTGATCTAGGCTGTGTGAGTATTAGGTATTAAAATCAGCACTTACCCGAATGAACTTTCAATTTGTGTTTCTTTAGGTTCTTGATATCTGTATAGGAGTTTCCACACAGCTCACAGATAAATGGTCTTTCACCTTAAAGCAAAATTTCTAGTCAGACTCACCAAATTCCAATATAGGTATTTCAACAGGAAAGGGTGGGTGGATGAAATCAATTAGCAAATAAGCAGTAATGTAGGATTAAGCAACATTCCATGTGTAAGTAATGGATTTGCTTCAGATTTTACCTGTATGAGACCGGAAATGTTTGTTAAGTTCTCCTGAAGAAATGAAGCTTTTGCCACAGATGCCACATATATAAGGTTTCTCTCCTGCAGATAAAATAAGGGGTAGGTTATCAGAAAATGGTGTCTTTCACCATTAGTTTAGTTTACTTTATTGTCATCGCACCTCGTACAATGAAATTAAATGCCATCTTCGGTGTGCATTATAAAAATAAAAACACAAACACGCATCCTTCACATGCTATATAATTGAAATTGAAAACCTGATATTGTATTATACCATAGAATTCAATATGGTTACTGCTCTGGGATAAAAGCTGTTTTTCAGCCTATTTGTCCTTGTTTTTATTATCCTGTACCGTCTGCCAGATGGTAATAGTTCAAAAAAAAAAAAGGGGGGGTGCCCAGGATGAGATGGATCTTTAACAATGTTTTGAACATTTTGAACTTTCTTAAAGCAGCAGGAGCTATAAAACTCTTCCAAAGAGGGGAGAGGGCAACCAATGATTCTCTGGGCAATGACATTAACGCTCTGGAGCGCCGTCCTATCTACCACTGTGCAATTGACAAACCATACATAGGTGCAGTAAGTTAAAATACTCTCTATGGTGCAGCGGTAGAAGGTCACCAGCAGTTTTCCATTCAGTTGTTGTTTCCCGAGAAGTCTAGGTAGTATAATCTCTGCTGGGTCCTTTTGACCAGTGCTGCAATGTGAGTGCCTCAGGTCAGGTCCTCTTTTATGCTAACACCCAGAAACTTAAAACTGGCCACTTCCTCCACTTGATCTCCATTGATAAGCAAGGGCTGTCTGTCTGATCTATTCCTTCTATAGTCCACTAAGGACCAAGTTATTGTCTCCACACCACGAAAGCAATCGGTCTACCTTAATGATGCATTGAATGGTTTCAATCAGATACCTGGTCTCCAAACTTTTTAGTCTGTTATACTTTCCTACTGAGGACAAAAGACACATGCCTTTCAAAATCATGCCTTCAACTTCCCTTTTTATAGCTACACCAGCCCAGCAAGGCCTCTCTAATTTTATTCCAGGATTACCTGTATGCTTTCTTGAGTGAGTGATGAGTGAACTTGAAACGGCAAACGTTTTCCCACAGGTGTCACAGACATAAGGCTTTTCTCCCGTGTGCCGTCGCACATGGTAAGTCAACGTGCTTGCTTGTGCAAATCGCTGCCCACATCGATCACAGACATATGGCTTCTCTCCACTGTGTTTCCTAAGGTAAAAAAAGCAAAAGCTTTTTTATCAGTGTCCCGGTGGCTTTTAAGCAAACGACGTCATCTTTAGCCAAATTTCGGGTGATGCTCATTCACTCACCTGGCGTGAATTTTTAGATTACTCGAAGTTGCAAATTGCAGATTGCAGGCGTCACACTTGTATGGTTTCTCTTCTCCGTGATGCATTCGGCTATGGAAAACAAGCTGGCATTTCTGAACAAATCCTTTGTCACAGAGATCACATTTGTATGGCTTTTCACCTACAAAGGGAATTAAGATGTTACTCTAGTCATGCCTTCTAAAGTATCTCTCCCCCCCCATTCTGAACAAAAAGGAATTGTAGACAGAGGCAGGGAGATATGTCTGAATTTCAAAGAGTGGGCAGGACATCATTCGGACCCTAGGATGACCCTAGGTCATCTCTTTGGCTGATGAAGCTCTTTATTCCAGCTTAACAGCAGTTTGATTTATTGCCAATAATAGATGGAATGGAGAGATTTTATTCCCCCAATTATCCAAAATAATTTATCTGTAACTGCGCATATAATGCTGGAAAACTTTTTGCCACAAATCAACCGTTTAGGAAATGTTCAGGAGTTCTAGGTATTGTCTTTCTGCTTAATTAAGGCTTGAAATTTTTCAGACACAGTTTACTCCACTGAGATTTGGTATGATTACACATTTAATAGGAACGAAGAGGTGGATAGCGGTTTGCATGTTTTCCTTTCATGATTTCACCAATTGTTTATCAAGTCAGATTTGACCTTCTGAGTTTAATTATGTATCCATTACATTTACATGCCATCCATCTCACTATCAAGCAACTCTGTGTGGCTTACAGTGTCATAAAACAGTATAAAAGAATTAGAATGTTAAAAACATTGGTCATTGAAAGTTAAAATATAAAGTTGCACCCTGTATACTGCAAAGACAATTTAGACCCACACAGTTGTTAGTTCTAGAAGATTGCATGGCAAAAAATACTGTGTAGAAAGATATGGCTTATCTGTCACATAATCCTCACCAAAATAATAACGAATGGAACTGTGACAATCTCACACTGTTACTTATTAAGATTTTAAATACTGTGCATAGGAGCCACACACTACAACTTCCATAGTAAACATTTTTTTAAGACTGCCATAAAGGGAGTCTGTTGTAGGTTTTCTTTTAAAGTGATCAGTCTGAAGGATTACAACAAGATTCCTTTTTCTGGTGAAGTAGAAGCTTACTGGTTTACAGCCAATATGATACCAAAGAAAAATGTCTTTTCTCACCTCTCCTTCCTCCTAGCTGTCTTCAGCTTTCAGTTTTAGATTCTGGGCATCTATCCAGTTAGCACCTGGCATGTCTTTCCAGCCAAGCAACGTGACCTTGGCTGTCTTCCCAAAACACTGACTGTGAAAAATGAGCCCTTCTTCGCCACTCTTTCAGTTCACAGAGAACCAAAGAGGACATTACTGTATTCCTTTTCGGTCTTTTTGCTTCTCTCCTATGTTTCCTGGCCTAGGGATTCCCTGCCTTAGCACTTAGCCTCCCCCTTCCCTTGTCCAACCCTTGCCAGTTATTATCACCACCGGGAGTCAACTGCTTGGAAGCGAGTTTGGCAGGAAGTTTCAAAGTTTCAAAGTTTAATAACACTTGTATGCTGCCCAATCCCGTAGGACTCCGGGTGGCTCACAATACAAATAAATC